ACACGCGTTTCACCGTGACCTCCCCTCAAAGCAGTCCCAACTGGGCTCATAGTAATGCGGTTCGAGAGGCTTCTTCAAGAAGAAAAAAGCGGCAGCAGGGCAAAAAGACAGATTTGCCATCGCGTTTTCTTTTTTTATAACTTTCGGGACTGTGCCCGTTTTTGGGTGCCGTACTTTTTTTGCAGACAGTGGCGTTCTTTTCTATAACACTGACCTATGGTTTAGAAATCAGGAAAAATGACCCGTTCACGACGCGGGCCGCACAACGCGGAAGTGCTCACGCTTACGTTCGCGACAGGCATTCGGCAGCGAAATCTTGCTAACAGACAATCATCCTCCGCGCATCGTGTCATACGTGCCACATCATCGTTTTTGCGAATGTACCAGCGGCCATGCTGTTTTAACCATAAGCAGAAACAGCCTGTAGTATGACCGCATGACGTTTCTATGACATCATTAATGCCGAGACAACTTTGAAATAGGCTCCAAATAAACCTGTTCGCACTCTTGTGGGCGCGTAACTCAGGAACCAGATCTTTTTTAGTCTTAAAATGGTACTCAAAAAGCAAAAGGTACTCAAAAGGTACTCAAGACGGCTACATCAGCTTAAAACATCATACAAATATAAAACATCCCCTTTTTTGTTGCTGTTTTAAAAGATACCATGTCGTAGGAATTTTGCAACAAATCTCTGTTTGAACGATAATTGATTGTTTCAGAAGATTGTGACTGTTATTCGTCCTCGGGTTTCTGCACCCGTAGTGACAGGTTGTGGATGTGGCACTTAATACGAACCCTGCCAAAGGTTCTCCAGACACGCACATTCTTTAGGAATGGCTTTGAAGGTTCTATTGATGTCTCACTGAGCATCTCTACTGCTCCGCTTTGCTGGAAACGTAGCTCCGTCTAAAAGGTTTAGACGCAGTTGGCTAATGCACTGACATCGCAGATGGAAGGTATGTGGTTCAACCCCAGCTCCGGCAGGGCCTCTTAGTCAGGTGGCAGCAACTGGGGAGTGATGTCCTGCCGCGGGATGAATGCTGTGCCAGCCAGCGTCCGGGCCGGGGAAGGGGGGGGGGGGATCCCGGGCATGGTCGACCTGCAAATAGAACCTACGGTGCAGGGGCCATGCGTGTGGCCACGGCTTCGCTCCATGTCACCGGAGCAGTCGTGGGAGTCACCGTGCCGCACAGATCGTGTGAGCCGTCGTGTGTACACAAGTGCCACCTGGGAGGCTGTGGAGCAAGCCTTTGGTCAAGGCTGTTCCGCAAGGGTGCCGAAAAACTGAAACCTCCACCGCATTCACAGTGTCCTTGTTAGCAACAGTGCAGCTGTGGGAAGCTAACATCAAAGCAAAACATGAACGGAATGCTCACATCGTTGCTGTAGTCATCACTCCTTAAAATCATTGCGCAAAATCCGACGCTCCAACAGCCCTTTCTTCGATATCGTGCATCGGAAACTGCTTAAAAAATGACTGGTTTACTTTTGTACACCACTTCGAATCAACATAATAGCATTATAGGGGAAAAGAAAACAAGTGTGTAATTGTGAAGGCTCTATTTATATGAACCATGATTTCAGACATGACGTTGACGTTCAGCGACGACAAAGCTTGTGCTTAAGGAAGCTTTGATACCCTGCCCGTCCAAATCTGTTCGACAGATTCCGAGATGTCAGGTGGGTGGGTGGGGAGAGGTCGAAAACAATCAGACCTTACGAGGATTCCAAGTCAAGTTGGTCGTAGGGAAGCACGGATAATGTCGGGATAACAGCTAGATACAAACAAGGCTCGATCTGTGATACATGGACCGCGTTGTAAAAACGCTCCGCGCCCTCGTTCGTCGCCTCAGGTGTGAGCAGCCTGGCGAAAATGACAATTTGTCTTCGGTAATTTTGCTGGCGCAACGCACGCACGGTGGTTTCTACTACTACTCTACCAGCGCGTGACACAGCTGCGCTGTCCTGCAGCTATCACGGCCAGTGATGGATGGCGCCTTTGGTGTGTTGGCCTTGCTTGTACGATATCCGGACTATCCGGGCTATATACGATATCCGGGATGATGCGCGGGAATCTCCACTCAAGGATCACGGCGTGTTATTTGCCAACGCATCCGTACCGAGCTCATTCATTTACCAAGACCGGAAATTACCAAACGCCCTGGCAGAGTGGGTCAGACAGCGAGCGTTAGGTGTATACCAGCGCGGCAGCTCCGCGTGACAGGCGTATATTGCTGCCTTCACGGCCGCCGCCATCTTGTCTGCTCATCTCACAGTCAGCTGATGGGTGATGCGGTTCTCTGATCGAAACAGGCACCGGGCGCCGTGTTGTCATCGCTGAATGGAGTAAGATATCGTCGCTCGCCGGGTTTATTCCATTCCGCGACACCACAAAAATATTGCAGACCATCTCAGTCTACTCCTAACCAGCTGCGGATGTTTTGTGCTGCATAAAATGCCCAAGGGAGGCAGCTGGGTGCGAGCGAAGGACGATTTCAGCCTGGCCGTACTATCGTATCACAGCATGCCAACGAGACACCAGTGCGTAAAACCGATACCAGCAGGCGACACTCAGCACCAGACCTGGTTGAAGCCGGTAGAAGACAGCGCTAGAGCAAGTAATTGAGAATGTCTTCCTTCGGCGCTGCTGGCACGGCCTCAGTGCCCCCGGCATTGGCTGGGACCTCGGACCGTCTCGGTGAGGATCGGCTCGGTCTCTGCCTGTTCGCCGCCCTCCTGTTCGGTCAGCACGGCTGCGGGGGCATCTGTCGACTGCACAGCGGCCTCAGACGTCGCCTCGGCGGTCTCCTGGACGCCTTCGGGCGCCGCGGTGGTCGCCTCCCCCTCGGCGGTGACCTCAACGACCTCGGCGTAGGCCTCCGGCAGCGCCGCTGCCTCCCCGGAGCGGCAGTGGTCACCTCCCCCGCATCAGCAGCGTAGTGACCTCGGCCTCAGCCGCAGTAGTGACTTCTGCCGCCGCCGTCGTAGTGACTCCCTAGCGGCAGCCGCTGTGGTGACTTCTTCAGCCACAGCCGCCGTAGTGACCTCAGTCTCAGCTGCCGTGGTGACCTCAGTCTGAGCTGCCGTGGTGACCTCAGCCTCAGTTGCCGTGGTGACCTCAGCCTCAGCTGCCGTGGTGACCTCAGCCTCAGCTGCCGTGGTGACCTCCACTGCAGCCGCCGCGGTGGCGTCCTCAGCAGCCGACACCGTGGTGATCTCCGCGGTCTCAGTGGTCACCTCCTCTGGTGAAGCCTTCGCTTCCTCCTCGGCGGGCAAGGCCTCCTCATAGGCAGATACCGCCTTGTCCGCCTCCGCTGCAGGCGTCTCCTCTTCGGCGCTGGCCCCCTCGGCGGCACTCGGCTCTGGCGCTAGAGCTGGCTCCTCCTTAGGCAGAACCTCATCCTCGACAGAGCCTGGCACGGTGTCAACGAGCGGTGCCTCACCGCTCGCTTCCACATCCTGCTCTTCGGCGTTGTCAAGCGGTTGTTGGTGTGCATCAGAAGAGAGCACATGTTCTGCCTCCTGCTCCAGCGCACCGGCACCCGCGACCTCTGGAACATCGTGAGAAGAGGTATGAGTGTGCGCGGGGACGCACCTGCACGAGCCCTTGTTGTCAGTGCTGTCTTTTACGTTGTTGTTATCCTTTGTCTTCTGTGCTGCCGTTGTGAGATTATATTCAAGACAGCTGCATTTAAAGATTTTGAAGAGCACTGAAGCATTTTTGTACTAAGCAAAACACTGCTGCAATGTTAAACAGCTTTTACAGCATGGCCTACATATGCGATCGCGGGTGGGAAATGCGGCATGGCGGCTGAGGATATGCGATCGCGGGTGTGAAATGCGGCATGGCAGCTGAGGATATGCGATCGCGGGTGGGAAATGCGGCATGGCGGCTGAGGCAACGGCTGCACCTTGCTGCATGAAAATGAACGCAATTCAAGCGTTACCATTCACAGGTGGCTGTCGTGCCGGCTTTACTGCACCAACATTTCTCAACACACTATTCGCGCATGCAACGGTATGGCAACAGCACGGGCAGCCTTATGATGCGCAGTGAAGATCGCCCCGGCCGTCGCGTGACCGTCGCGGGCCCGCGTGTGTTGCGACCCTGTGTCGCCCCCAGACGAGACCCTTCGTGGGCAGTTATGACGTCATCGGCACCACCGACTCGCAGCCCGACTCACATGCCCTCGGGGCTTCACTGCCGGCTGTGCAGGGCAACTGAGGCCGGTACGCTCACAGGTCGGCGCTGCCGCATGGATTGAGGAAAGCACCTCTCTTCGGCCATAGCTGGCGCGGACTGAGTAGCGCGCTGCGGTCGGTAACGGTTTTGCGCCATCCGAACGTAGCGGACTGTGGTCGGTAACGGTCATGCGCTATCCGAACTTGGCGGACTGTGGTCGGTGACGGTCATGCGCTATCCGAACTTAGCGGACTGTGGTCGGTAACGGTCATGCGTCGCCCGAACGCGGCGCACTGTGGTCGGTAACGGCCATGCGCCATCCGAACGTAGCGAACTGTGGTCGGTAACGGCCATGCGTCGTCCGAACGTGGCGCACTGTGGTCGGTAACGGTCATGCGTCGTCCGAACTTGGCGGACTGTGGTCGGTAACGGCCATGCGTCGTCCGAACGTGGCGCGCTGTGGTCGGTAACGGCCATGCGCCATCCGAACGTAGCGGACTGTGGTCGGTAACGGCCATGCGTCGTCCGAACGTGGCGCACCGTGGTCGGCAACGGTCATGCGTCGTCCGAACTTGGCGGACTGTGGTCGGTAACGGCCATGCGTCGTCCGAACGTGGCGCACTGTGGTCGGTAACGGTCATGCGCCATCCGAACGTAGCGGACTGTGGTCGGTAACGGCCATGCGTCGTCCGAACGTGGCGCACTGTGGTCGGTAACGGTCATGCGGCATCCGAACGGAGCAGACTGTGGTCGGTAACGGTCATGCGGCATCCGAACGGATACCGTCACCCATGATGATGCTGATGCCGTTGCTCAAATTCTTAGCTTATGCCGAGGGTTCTTACGTCTCGCTGGCGTGACAAGCACATTTCTATCCGGCTCGAGGAGCTAAATAATGACAGCTAATGTTAGATGCAATTCTGCCGCGCTATGCAGTTCAATAAGACCTGGAATGTCACATATGTGGCGTTAGCAGGAAGATTTGCGAGTGGAAAAATCCCCAAGGAATTAAATTGCACAAACAATCAGCGGAATGCTCTGACTGGGCTTGAAGGTACTTCGGTATCGTTATGATTCATTACATTCCAACACCAGCCGATGCCCCTCAATGCACTCAACTACATTAAATGCTTTGTAATTTTCACTTCATTTTGACAATTCATACACATCGAAATGTAATGCTCCTGGCGACCGATACGGGCGTATCCACTGACTGTAAGGCGATGTGCGGTCGTAATTTGGGCTCTAGCACAGCGATGACAGCGATGCCCGCTGCCGTGGTGGACGGTGGCCAGGGGAAGATCTTGCGGTGTCGGAAAAGCACGCCACTCCCCACCTGAGCTTACTGGCATAGGCCTTGCATGCCTTCGAAACAACTTCGGCTGCAAAAGAATTCGCATACTTGCTCACGGAGCATTGTGAGTGCATACCATCATGACATAATTGCGAAAGCACTTACTCACCCGACTACCCCACTTACGACAATTTTGCCAGCGCTCCTGACGGCGCATGTTCCTACCTTGGCTCTGCGGGTCAATGGCTCTGCTGCCGTACGCCCTGAAGACCGAGAGACCCGGCCGCACCACCTCGATGTCGTCCACCGGGTAGCAGCTGACCGCTGCCGCCGCCACCACAACCTGTAAACACAGGCAAGCACGTCATGCGCCTAACGTCTAATTCACCGCATCAGACAATGAAGCGCCGCAGTGGCTCACGTCAAGTGTAGGAGACTGCAAATACTTTGCTAGCAGCTAGGTTCGAATCCCTTGACCTTCAGCATGCCTACGTGAGCGAACCCTGCATGACACGGAATGTTGCACGCTTGAAGATATTGAGTTAGGCATCAGATATGATGGGATGTGCGTCCTCGTAACTATTGGTAAACTTTCAAAGTTCAAAAGCGACGCTAAGTAGTAAAATTTCAAAGTTTATAAAAATGGGCCCCATTATGTCATTGTTTGATGGCGCCGTGAAGTGGGTTTGTGACGACAGCAAAACCTGACAGCATCTGGCAGCCAGACCTAAAGAATACCTCGAAACACACGAAAGCTGACGCCAACCGGCAATTCTCGTTGCGGGCGCTATGTCGGGGGCGGACTGGTAGGTGGGTTATTTGTTGCTTTTTTGTCCTGGTGATGGCCGTAAGAAAAGCTTTCGTAGACTGTTTGACACGCGCAACTTAGCGATCGCCAGCCTTTATGGCAGATTATTAATATCAAAGCACGATATGATGTGCTGCTGCTGTTGCTGCTTTGCTGTTGATGCTTTTGTCAATACTTTATCATCGACCCATCGTTGCGCGCGGTGCTGTTGTCCTGACATTGATATCATGTGATGTGTACAGCAGTCACCGTCCTTATTGTTTGTAACTGGAAATGCGGTGTCGTGGCAAAATTAAAAAATTTGTAACATTATCTTTATTGCTTGTAAGCGGAAATGTAGTGTCATGCGAAAATTAATAAACTTGTAACGCTGCCATGCATTGATTGCCAAAGCATTGCTATTGCTATGGTATAGATGGCAAGGTTGGGTTACCAATAATTTTTTAGTATTATTAGGATTGTTCATGCAATTTATTGTTAACCCTTATATAGCCAATGTGGTGCAGCAACATTCTTGCCGCAGACAGTCTTTTTCAGTTATCATTTCGTTTTAGTTCCTTATCCTTGTCTCAGTTCAAAACGTCATACAAATGTGGAACATTCCCTTTAACTGCGCCATGCAACTGCAGGCCGGGGCCGAGGCAAGTGAGGCGAAGCTTGCGAGATCCACCGCTGGGCTGCCGGCTAGTTCTGGGGCGGAGGGCGGGTGCGGATGCCCGAGTGGAAGCGGAAGTGGTCGGCTCCGGCTGCCAGGCTCAACGCAGGAGAGCTAATCACCTGGCTCACCTTCAAGCCCCGAGTCGTGCAGGATGGGAGGTGTGCGCAGCGCACCCAAATCACCTCATTATTACTAAACGGCCCGAATCAAATGAGGCCTCCTTCCGCTATCCGCTTCATATATTCCACTCCCTTTCTCCCTTTGTCCCGTCGTCTCCTTCCAGCGCTCATTAACTCCCTGATTGTGTTTTCTGTCCTCATCAGATCCAGCTCCACTTATCTCCTCGCTCTGCCTTTGTCTCAGCCTCGCTATGCGTTTCAAGACGCTCTCAAAGTACGTGGCTAAAATGCCGCAGCGCTCGACTCGGGATAAGGCCGCCGGGTCCGGATCCCACACATTGCGAAAATATTCCACCAGCCAATCGCAACGGCCGGGTGAAAGTGTGCTGTACCAACGTCTATGCACCAGCTTCATGCGTCCGTAAAGTGTCCCAGACTTTTTCTCTGCTTTTTGCTGCTCATTTTCCAGTCGCAACCCAGGCCTACGCCTCGCTTACAAAATTTGATCACATCGAGGTTATTAAGGTGTTTGTTTTCATGCAACACCTACAGGCGTAGACTCATCTTTGAATCCCTGTCCCGTGACCCCTAATCTCCACCGCTGTGGTAGAGCCCATGGCCGTCCCCCCCCCCCCCCCCCACAACCCGAGTGCCCCTTTCTCCTCCTGTCGTCCTTCACCGAAAAGGCAGTCGGATGGAGCTGCACCCATGGCTGGGGCTCGGGTCTCAGCGACGCGTCACTGGCCAGCGCGTGACCGGCCGGCCTCAGGGCGACACTTGCCAGCGCATAATCGGCCAGGCTCGGGGACACCGGCCAGCGCGTGACCGGGCGGTCTCAGAGCGACACTGGCCAGCGCGTAATCGGCCAGCCTCAGGGTGACACCGGCCAGCGCGTAATCGGCCAGCCTCAGGGTGACACTGGCCAGCGCGTGACCGGCCGGCCTCAGGGCGACACTGGCCAGCGCGTGACCGGCCGGCCTCAGGGCGACACTGGCCAGCGCGTGACCGGCCAGCCACAGGCGACACTGGTCAGCGTCCGGTCAGGGCCGTGAGGGCGAATGGCAGCGCGTGACCGGCCGGCCTCAGGGCGACACTGGTCAGCGCGTGACCGGCCGGCCTCAGGGCGACACTGGTCAGCGCGTGACCGGCCGGCCTCAGGGCGACACTGGTCAGCGCGTGACCGGCCGCCTCAGGGCGACACTGGCCAGCGCGTGACCGGCCGGCCTCAGGGCGACACTGGCCAGCGCGTGACCGGCCGGCCTCAGGGCGACATGGTCAGCGCGTGACCGGCCGGCCTCAGGGCGACACTGGCCAGCGCGTGACCGGCCGGCCTCAGGGCGACACTGGCCAGCGCGTGACCGGCCGGCCTCAGGGCGACACTGGCCAGCGCGTGACCGGCCAGCCTCAGGGCGACACTGGTCAGCGCGTGACCGGCCGGCCTCAGGGCGACACTGGTCAGCGCGTGACCGGCCGGCCTCAGGGCGACACTGGCCAGCGCGTGACCGGCCAGCCTCAGGGCGGGCGACACTGGCCAGCGCGTGACCGGCCAGCCTCAGGGCGACACTGGCCAGCGCGTGACCGGCCAGCCTCAGGGCGACACTGGCCAGCGCGTGACCGGCCAGCCTCAGGGCGACACTGGCCAGCGCGTGACCGGCCAGCCTCAGGGCGACCGGCCAGCGCGTGACCGGCCAGCCTCAGGGCGACACGGTCAGCGCGTGACCGGCCAGCCTCAGGGCGACACTGGTCAGCGCGTGACCGGCCAGCCTCAGGGCGACACTGGCCAGCGCGTGACCGGCCAGCCTCAGGGCGACACTGGCCAGCGCGTGACCGGCCAGCCTCAGGGCGACACTGGCCAGCGCGTGACCGGCCAGCCTCAGGGCGACACTGGCCAGCGCGTGACCGGCCAGCCTCAGGGCGACACTGGCCAGCGCGTGACCGGCCGGCCTCAGGGCGACACTGGTCAGCGCGTGACCGGCCAGCCTCAGGGCGACACTGGCCAGCGCGTGACCGGCCGGCCTCAGGGCGACACTGGTCAGCGCGTGACCGGCCAGCCTCAGGGCGACACTGGCCAGCGCGTGACCGGCCAGCCTCAGGGCGACACTGGTCAGCGCGTGACCGGCCAGCCTCAGGGCGACACTGGCCAGCGCGTGACCGGCCAGCCTCAGGGCGACACTGGTCAGCGCGTGACCGGCCAGCCTCAGGGCGACACTGGTCAGCGCGTGACCGGCCAGCCTCAGGGCGACACTGGCCAGCGCGTGACCGGCCAGCCTCAGGGCGACACTGTGTCAGCGCGTGATCGGCCAGCCTCAGGGCGACATGGTCAGCGCGTGACCGGCCGGCTCAGGGCGACACTGGTCAGCGCGTGACCGGCCAGCTCAGGGCGACACTGGCCAGCGCGTGACCGGCCAGCATCAGGGCGACACTGGTCAGCGCGTGACCGGCCAGCCTCAGGGCGACACTGGCCAGCGCGTGACCGGCCAGCCTCAGGCGACACGGCCAGCGCGTGACCGGCCGGCATCAGGGCGACACCGGCCAGCGCGTGACGGCCAGCCTCAGGGCGACACTGGTCAGCGCGGTGACCGGCCAGCCTCAGGACGACACTGGTCAGCGCGTGACCGGCCGGCCTCAGGCGACACTGGTCAGCGCGGACCGGCCCCAGCCTCAGGGCGCTGTCACTCGGCCGAGCGCCGATTAGAAGGTCGAGAGGTCATCCGCCGCAACATTTGGCGTCGAAACAAGGCTGGACATTAAACGTGAGCCACGTCCAGCCTGACTATTGTGTGTGACTTTGCAGTATTGAGCGCTTCGTCGTTCCTGGTAGCGAGGCGATCAAGACCCACGAAAGGATTCGGTAGTTGCAGTCAAGTTTCGCCCATAGTTCGTTTCAGGTGAAGACAAAATTTAACGATTCCCTCTCATGAACTCTCACGAAGCGGAACTACA